ACGTAAGGTGTAACAAAATTCTCATTTACCAGCCATGTCGTATTCAAACGCGGAAGCTTGTGATATGATGCTTATTTTAGGTGAATGTGATGGTCAATTTAGAGCAGCTGCAAGATTGTGGCGAGAACGATACCCAGATCGCGCTCCTCATTCGTACAAAGTTTTTTCTCGCTTAGCTAACCGAATTACCAATAAAGGTATTCTTCAACCGGATCACAATAAAGGTAGAAAAATTCGACGTCAAGTTAGAGATGAAAGGATGCCGGAGATTCTTGCATCCGCTCAATTGCATCCCTGCCATTCATTAAGACGTACAGAAAGAGATTCTGGAATTAGTCGCAGCACGATCTGGCGAATTTTCCATGAAAACAAGTTGACACACACACATTCACACACACAAACACACAAACCCACAAAGAGGTGTAAATCCGACCGTGCAACCTCCACCTTGGGTAATGCTAATGCCGGCGGTACCGTAACTTTCAATCCTCATAACTCGAAAAGTACTGATTAAAAAAACGTTTCATTATAGCGTTTTGGAAAGCTCTCGAGGTAAGCTACAAGAATATGCATTGAAAAATGGGGGTTTCCATTTAAGAAATTAAAGGTGACCTTCACGTGATCTTCAAACGACTATCCAAGGTCAAACCAATGACACCATCTTATGCGCCCCTCGAAGTCACAAAACTTTTGTCTGAAACATTTTTCTTTAAAATGTCGCGTTTACGAAAAAATCGGGTGAGACGGGTGGTCTGGGACACCCTGTATATATATATATATATATATATACTTATTTATTTATTTATATATTTATATCTATATATTTATAAGGAATAAAATTACAGTGCAGCATTAGTTCAGTTAAAACGAATAGGCCTACCGTTAATTTGTTGACACTTTCACGGATGGGTGATTTAAAATGTCCATATTCGCCCGCACGTCAATATATATTTATATATAAAATCACTGCTAATTTCGAATAAAAGTTGAGTGAGTAAAAAGTGCAACATTTTGCATATTTTCAGAAACTAAATATAAGAGTTGGCAGAAAAATGTGAAACTTAAAAATAGTAGCGTTGTTTATATTAACTTTAAACTGTCAACCAAAAATAATATTTAATCCGGGATGAAAATAAGGGAAAGAAGGATCTACCACTATGCTTTACTTTGCAATCAAAAATGACTCTCATAATCATACATTTCATTTTACGGACGTCCATTTAACTTAAAATATTAACTCTATACTCTGAGTCTATGCTCCCCTAACTCTATGTCTTGAAGACATGTGATGATTAATAAAAGGGAATATAATATACATCAACTCTCTTTTATTTAAAATATTACGCAATTATTAAATAATAATGTATGCAACAAATTTCTGCACATCGGTCTCTCTCTTTCTGCTCCTCTCTCTCACTCCCTTCTCTCCTCCTTTCACTCCCTTCTCCCCCGCCCCCTCTCAATCTCTCTCTTACCGATGACAAAAATATCGTGTAGATAAAAAAGGAACGAAATTGCGGTATTTATAAACACTTTTTTATTACAAAAAGCTTACGAATAAGGCTAGATCTTAGAATCTCGGAATCTTAGAATCATGTTATGTTATATTCATCTTCAATGTTTAAACTAGTTCTTTTTGCAAATATCCTGCTAAAATCCACCTCATGTTAAATAACTAAAACTTAAATAGCTAAAAACTTTTTTTTATGAAAACTATCCTTAATATTTAGTATTATTTTTTAATTAAATGTTTATTGTAATCAACTTTTCGTAAATATCATGTTCTTGAACAAATCTATTTCATTTCTTATTATACATATCGAGTTGCTTTAAAAATGTTTCCAAAATTCAAATTATTTAATTTTTCGTATGATATCACATTTAAAATGTGCTCATTTAGCCTGAAATACATAATATCTTATACGAACCTGTGACGTAAAGAAGGGTCCTACAGTGCTAATCTAAATATCTATTATTATTCGCATAAGTATGTAATTTAGCTGAAGCTTTTTTATATGTATTACAACGCAAGTATCGATTTAAACATGTAAAGAAGCTTCAGTCAAATTATACGCTTATGTGTGTAACACATGTAGATTTGCAGTGAATGTATTAGGTATCCATTTCTCGCATCCACTTTCACATTATCCTTAAAATTCCTACTAATGTGTGTCTCCGAGTTACAAGTATTTTTTACGAACCTTCCTTCTCCTCTATTACTCGTCCCATTAATTCAAAATTTGTCTTATATTTAAAAAATGTGTACAAGTCATATTAAGAGGTCATTTTTATTAAACATTATATGTCTCCAAGATGTAGAGTCAGGGGAGCACAGAATATAGGGTTAATATTCTAAGATTAACGGACGTCCGTAAAATGAAATGCACGATTATGAGAGTCACTTATAATTGCAAAGGAAGGCATAATGTAGACTCAAACGTTGTTGCGAAGCAAGGCATTTGGCCAAATGCAATTCGGAACCATCGTGAACGCACTAGAATACTCGCTCTGGACAGAGTAATATTGAAAGTGAAGAATTTAATTTATATTATCGCAAGGTCAACTTAAAAGAAAATCGAGGAATTAAAAAGTATATAAAAATAAACGTACCCAAACGATGAATAATCGGGAGGGAAAGGCGATTTTCGGGTTGAATAAATTAAAAACTGTGGGTATTTAGTCGCGACACGAAATATGCGTATAAATGATGTGTAACTCTTCTTTCTCCTACTTTCATCCCGGACGGATTAAATATTATTTTCGATTGACGGCTTAATATAAAAGACGCTATCATTTTTAAGCTTCACATTTTTTTGTCAATTTTTATATTTACTTTCCGAAAATACGCTGCACTTTCATTCGAAATTAGTAGTGATTGTATATATATAAATATATATTGACATGCGGGCGAATACGGACATTTAAATCGTGTCAACAAACTAACAGTAGGCCTGTTCGTTTTAGTGCTTCATTTTCCTTCAAAGTTAGGTTTGTATCATTCTAAAGGCATTAAAAATCCAGTTCGACTACTACGAGAGAAATCTAGGACGGCGAAAAGCGATAGTATTACTTACTTATTTCTCGCAATAACAGTGGCAGGCCCCGCGATGAGGAACGAATTTTAGAAACAGCAACTCTGCTTTCGCTAAATTTTGACGTTTTCTTCCCCTTCCTTTTTATCTCTCTTCTTACCCTAGAACTCGAGGACTGCTGACTCGATCATCAGTTGTAGTTGTAAAATTTTCTTCCAGTCTCTTATGTGAGCGTAAATAACATCACAATACTCATCGACACAGTATGTGTGTGTGTGTGTGTGTGCGTGTTGTGTCGTATTCCGGTTTTGAGACTACTTTGAGTATATGTAGAAGGTAAGATCGAGTACACCGTTTATAAAGCCGGTGGTTCCCCACGTAATATCAAGTTGCCTATTACCGATTCCGGCAAACAGCGACCGACAATAGCATCTTATTTCGCAGTGATTCGATCGAAGCAACACGATAACTTGGACGCGAAGGAAGGCCGGAATTTCAGGCCTGCTTCGGTCGACCGGCGCGCCGCTCCACTCCTCGCCACGTACAACACGCGTTTGAATGTACGAGAAGTCGCGCCAGCTGCTGGTTGTCTGCTACTCTTCGGCACTCTCCGGTAGCGCCGTCACGACCTCGTGGTGTTCACGTGATCGTAGCGCCTTCACGAATCGCAGCGGCGCGCAGGCCGCGTGCTTGCATTCTTCTAATTGCGCTGTGCTGGCGACGCGTCGGCCCGGGGGACACGAGGAAATGGCTTTTCGTATCATACCGGTTCTAGAGAACCAGCTCTCTCTCTTACGGTGTTCCGTTGCGAACCTTCCATTTTTCACACAATTCAATCTCAAATTGACAACGAATTCGCAGTCGGAACTTGCGAATATGTTTTACACAAAGTGTGCACGACCGGCGCCAGACAACGTGTCTTTCTTTCCCACAGAATTTCTTCTTCACGCCTGAATATTAATAGCGTCGTTGAAGGTGTCACAGGTGTCATCGACGAACTCATCCGGATATAATGATTTTCGCGCGATGAAATATTTTTAATGTCAACAACGATTCTGAATTAGTCAGATTATTTCCTTATAATATTATATGAAATCTGCAATGTTCTTCCGAATAATTAATTATTCGAGTGTGTTTATTATTTTAAATGCACTTGTAATTTTGTCTTTTTAATATGAAACATATAATTCGACGACACATGATAACATTCCATGCTGCATGTATGTAAAATAATGAAAGTTGCAGAAAATATTTTGACCTGAAGTATGAACTGGATTTTTTTTCGTAATAAAATAGGAAATTTGAGTTAAAAAATATTACGCTAAAAACGACTAAGATACCACTTCGTAAAACCAGCGATCATCGAATTGATCATCATATCGAATGATACGAAGTGACACGTGCGCGCTATCATGCGAATATAATTTCTAAAACAATATCATGTAATTTTCCACTGTACTCACAGAAATACGCGAGGAATCGATGAGAGAACGGATGATCGATATTGGTTGCTGAAGTTAATTTTTAAGTTCCCGTCTGGAAACATATAATATCAGCCAACTTGTTTTTCATTTAATGATACCGTGGATATCACAGAAAAAATACAAAATGATACAGCTTAGATTTAACGTCGTGTTATTGAGGGAAAATCATACGATTTCTGGAAAATCCATTAATGGCCATAACATGTTCATGTAACAACTTTGAAAAAATAAAACATTGGTAACATTTGTTAATAAGCCCATTTCATATCCCCAGTCAGAAATAAAGGAATCAACTCAACGTCTATGAATCGATGTTGAATACTAGTCGATACTTTTGTCACTTCCAATCTTATACAACTCTACCAGCACAATATGTAAAAGAGACGTGCTATTTCAGTCGCAAAGTCGCAAAAAATAAGATACGACTTTCGCACGTCGCTGCAACATACCATACAACTAAAATACGGTTTGACTTTAATAAGTTGTTTGTTAGATTTTGCGGCAAACCATTCAGTTGCGTTCTGAACTGCATAATTTCATTGATGATTGTATTTAGTTCACTTGTGGCACAAAATTTAAACAGACGGGAGATTTATTTTACATATACAATAAAAAATAAATATGCAGGGTGTCTAATTTCAAATGACGACCTCAAATATCTATTGAACAATGCATTTTAAAGAAAAATATTTCATATAAAAGTTGGACAGTTTAAAAGGGCCTATTTATTAGTTTTATCAGTTTGATCTTGAGTGGAGACATCAAGGTCAAATGAAGGTCAGCTTCATTTTTTTATGAAATTGTATAATTTTCTTAAAACAAATCAATTTCTCTGTTCATTCTACGTATAAAAATACTAAGATAAGATCATCGAAAAGTGAATACTTTTCAAGATATTTTACTTTTTATTCTGACGTTGTAGGATAACAGATGGAATCAACCGTTGTAAGCAAACATAAAGGAACCTTAAAAACAATTCACTGCATTTTACTAATGTATGATAATATAACTACATGTAAAATATTAAGGTGATGTTATGGAAAACTACATGTAAAATGTTAAGATGATGTTATGGAAAACTGAATATTTTATGAGATATTTTTCGTACTAAAAAATGTCACAATGAAAAGTGAAATATTTCGGAAAGTAATCAATTTTTAGATAATCTTACCATAATATTTTTATACACAGAATGAACAGAGAAATCAATTTGTGTTAGGAAAATTATATGATTCCAGTTAAAAAAAAATGAAGTTGACCTTCATTTAACCTTGACCGGGCCTCCACCCAAGATATGTAAAAAATGTATGAAATAATCCCAGGTGACTATTTTATGGTTACAGTCATTTAAATATTGTGAAACTTGCTTTTATTATTGTTGTAATTAGGGAACATATTTATTCATACATTAAAAATGACCTTAATTATTTTTGTTTATAATGTAGGAGATATTTTACTGAAATTTATAATTTTACTTATATTCAGAAATTATTATGCTTGCATTGTAACATATTTTTGTAATATACATTGATATATTAAAACAAAATGAAATAAAAAGGTCAGTACATCTTGTATTTCAGTTATATTAAATACATAACATACTTCTTTCTGCTTTAATATAGTATAAAATATAAACATCACTTAAAAAAGATAACGCATCTATATTATACATTTATAAAGACTGCGTAGTTGTCGCATCTTTTGGTGTATTTTCAACTAATGTAGCTTCCACAGGAGGTGGCTCAGTAGGCACAAGGTCATGTTTCTCTTTCGGTAAAACATACGTGCCCTCCGATATATCCGTTGGAGTCATCCAAGATGGTATTATCTTGCCATGAATTCGCCAAATACCATATTCGTTAGACAAATGCTTTTCGAATACTATATATTCTAATACGTCTTTTTTCAGAATTTCACTTCCTTGCATTAAACGACCGAATCTATCGTAAATTGCTAAAATCTACATGAAAAAAAAAATAGAAAACTTTTATCTAGAAGTCACTCCTTCGATCGAGAAAAAATGTGATATCAGAGAATAAAATATCAAACCTGTTGCGTGTGAAAACGAACAGTAATTTGCGCAAAAATATTTTCTTTCGTTATTACATCTGTATTCCTTGCATGCACGACACGGGCAGGTTCCAATGATTCTAGAAATTTCCAATGTATAGTTTTGTCCATCATATTGTGTATCATTTTCTAAAAATATAAATATTATATAATAATATACATTATACATATAACAAATGCAATACAAATTTACACACTCACTCACTCACTCACTCACTCACTCACTCACCCCCCCCCCTCCTACCCTTCTCTCACTTTCTCTTTCTCTTCGAATTAAACAATTTATATTTGTAACTTACAGGATATGCAGTTTCAGTAACATATTGTAACAATTTTTCCTTATCCTTACTGAAATCAAACGAATTATTTCATTTAACAATATTACTTACACACATATCCACACATACGCGCGCGCGCATACAAACACAAACAAAGTAGATATAAAATATTGCCAATTGTTAAAATTTTGTTTAACTAATATTTTTGAATATATAATTTACGAAAAATATTTTACATTTCTTATTGTTTTACTTACGCAGCTAAAGCATTATGTGCATTTTTGTAAATATCAATTGCTTCTTCGACAAAATCAGATGTCTTAAATGCATCATCAAACGTTTTAATTTTTCTAATGGCCAATAAAGATTTGCTCTTCTTCTCCAAAAATGTAAACTTTTGTTTCGCTCCCTGTATATAAATTATAAGTAAATGAAAAATACATGTTCTTTGTTATATTATTATATTATGTAGGATATTATATAAAAATATTACTAAGCTGAACAAAAACAAATATACAGGATATTTAAGAAAGAAAAGTGAGCTAACTATATGCAATCGTATAAGATTAATGACAAAACTAGGGATGTTCGATCCTCATGATAAGAATCGATTTACTGCAAAAAAAAATCGGAATGAAAAGATCAACCTTGTGAAAATTGACTTAAAAAATCGCGCAATAAAAGATGCGTTCGAGGAGCGCAGTATTAGTGCTCAACAGCGTCATTCTATATCCTTTCTATTGTTTTACATCTAATGAGTGATAAAAATAGAATGGTTATTTTCCTTAGTAAACCAGTTAATCAGAAATCCCCATGTTTATCTTAAAAAATATATTTTTACTCTAAATTTTATATATTATTTGTTATAACAAGTTTCAAATAAAATTAAGAACAATAGAAAATACGTATTATTATTGCATTTATATGCAATATTTTTGTGAGAAATAATAACAAAAAATACATATTTTAATTAACAAGAACAAGTCTTGTTGCTATTTCTAAGATCTAATGATATTTCAAAACAAATTTAATATGTATGAGATGCCGGATTCATGTATTATCCTTCTTACATATGTAGCATGCTTTGTTTACTTTTATACCTTTTTTCTCTTTTAATATAGCGGAGTGTTAAAATCCATCTATAATGATGGTAACAGTTATATAGGCCCCACTTTCAGCTGAACCGGTTCAGGTACCAGTCGACTAATTGATTAACTCAACGAAATTGATCGTATCGGTCAGTTAATGAACCAAATTTACCATATGGGATTGGCCAATGGGATTCATAAATACCGACCTTAGACAATAAAACCGGCGGCACGGTCACAGGTATTCATAATCGGATCTTACATTTATTATCTTAAGTTCATCTTCAGATGTTTCGTAGCCAATGAAATAAGCCGTACAGCACTTGAAGATGTTAAATTTAAGACAGCTTAATACACATACAACACACGCACACAGGCAGACTTCTATATACTAACTAGATCGCTGACTCTTGGTGACCTGGGTGATGGTGGGGATAAATGGCGCCACCTTATCGAATGGACCTGTGAATGTATGGGTGCGTGTGTGTGTGTGTATTATCTATGCGTGCGCACCACATGATCAATTCGACTACTCTACTCAGGAAAAATGTGTGATTTACGTATGTATGTATACATGAGTAAGGTCTACTATATATATGGCGTCTTACACTCCCTCCGTTCTCTTTCTCGGAAAGTTTTTTCAGATAGTCAGCAGTCTACTCAATTTGATGTAGAATAGTTTGTGGTCTTAAATATAAAATCCGACTATATCGGTTATACGGTGTTTGTTTTCGCGTTAGATTATTTGAGTACTATTTTTAATCAAAATACACCAATCAGAACGCAGTATTTTTAGCGCGTAAGCAATGTAGCAACAAAAACAAGCATCGTGTGCCATCGGTTTTATTATTAAATATACTATTCCTTAAAAATCGGAAATCGATTTCCTAAAAACAATCGATTCACGACAAAATCGCAGAAAGAGGGATCGATTAAGTAAAATCGATTTTCTAGAAAATCAGAATTTAGAATCGAACATCCCTGATGTAAACAAAAAAAGGATTCTTATAAATATAACATCCAAAATTTTCAGTTGACGAGTTAGTAAGGTCATCAAGAAAGAAGAATTACAAGAAGAATGTTTACGTGTTCACATAATAGATGTTGATTTTTATGCTATCAGATAAAGCTATTCCACTCAATTTAAAAGTGGTCACATATGTGCATACGCATGATATATAATGCATTTAGTCTCCATATTAGCAATGGATTGTGGTGATCCTCGATTATACTGGAATCCTACGCTCTGTTCAAAAAAATATCTTGCATCTCAATTAAAATCTGGAGGAACATTATCTACATAAACCATACTCTTTAATATCAAGTTGAATATCATACAGTCATAAATCAGCACCTAATTTATGATAACATAAAAATTCTTCTTGTAACATCTTTATATACAGCTTTAACGCATTAAGGGGGTCATTCCGTGTGACGGCTTAAAAAAATCGATTTTTTTTTGCATAAATCTAATCTAGAGCATGCATAGAATATACTGGCAAAGTAATTTTGGCAAAGGATTTTTTTAACTGGTGCCCATGATTTTTCGAAAACGGTTCAATGAATTTAAAAAAATTTTAATAGAAGATTCAGCACATATGTGGCTATCGTGGGAAAACTAGAATTTTTAAAAAATATTGAACCGTTTTCTATCTGCATAAGAAAATAGTCGCAAAAAATCATGCTATTTTGAGTTATAATTTTTAAAAGCATGCGAAAAATTGAATTTTTAATATTTTCAAAAAATCCTAGTTCCCACGATAGCCACACATGTGCTGATTCTACCATTATAATTTTATTTAAATCCATTGAACCGTTTTCGAAAAATCATGGGCACCAGTTGCACCAGTTAAAAAATCCAGTTTTGAGAAAAAACGCGTTAGAAATAGCTCTAGATTAGATTTATGAAAAAAAAAATCGATTTTTTAAAGCCGTCACACGGGATGACCCCCTTAACAGATAAGAGAAAAATCCCCCAAGTCCTTCAGTCAAATCACCAATAATAATAATACCAAACCTATACTGATGTTCCTTGAGTAACTAAAAATAAAAAAATTCATCATTTATAAACCCAAACTTTTTGCGATATAAGCACAAACAAATATTAAATATACCCGAGTTTTTACTTTGATTGTTGGCTATGTATTACTCTTTCAGTCCGCTTTTTTGTTTTTTTATAAAATATAGTTTAGTTCCTCTGGTCGTATCAATATTTTAGATGATCTTTATAAATTTATAAATTTCACACAGATAAAAATAGTGGAACCAACAATATGACGGACATGAATTTAAAAGCTGAGTTTTAAGATGCATTGAAAATAAAAAGTGCAAAATATGTATGGTTCATGTTATTTATATTATAGATTTTCTGTACTGTTGGGACATAGAAGAAAAATGTCTGATAAAACATTTATAAATAACAAAAACAATAAATGTTTTTATGCATAAAATCGTATTTAATATATATCTAATCTGATATACGGAATTTTAAGAAAATTAAAACTCAAAAATTTAATTAAATCTAATCTAACGTAGCAAACGTCAGGAAAACATTAAAAAAACAGATGTACTTTTATCGTCCAAAGTTTTGTACACCTTCCGCGAACTTTTATACACCTACACCAATATCTTTATTATGGTGAATTTAACGTATATATTACTTATTTTAACATGGAAGAATTTGTTCCTGATATAGATACTTCCACTAAATATATGTATCTCCACACTATATATATATCATCACGCTAACGCAAGCTTTACGTATTCTTCCTTTAAGTCTTCTTTTGTCGTAAGTGGTTGAGATATGACTTTCTCTTTGATATATCCTCATAAAAAATAGCCCAAATGTGTTAGATCAAATGAACGTGACCTCAGAAATGTTATTTAGAGTTAGACCAAGTTTTGTAGAAAGAATAATAAGCATTTAAATATGAATAGTCAACAGTCCGAACATTTAATAAAATAAAAAACAGAAAAAACTATGAAGTTTTTAATTAATGGTTTTATCGTTAGTTGTAATGCACTTTACTTTAAAATTTTAATATTTATAACTTTTGATAGAAGTCTTTTTCAAAGAAATGTTCCAGATAAAGTTTATTTGCTTTATCCGTAGAATCCAAATATATAACATTCTACAGGAAATTTCATTTGAAATTACGAAGTTATCCCCCTTCCCCCTTAAGAGGGAGCAGAGGAAATGTTGGTTCACGTAGTTAGAAAGACTCCTCGAATATATGAAACTTTCTCATGAACAACTTTTTGACACGACAAATATTTTTAGAGTTTTCAGGTTTAACACTTTACATGGGCCATCCTGTACATAAAATGAAGAATTGAGAATGAATAAAGATGGCTATATAAATACATTTCTATCTTCCAATTCTGTTAAAAATTATATCTTATCAAAAGTTTTAGCTTTGCAAAACAAATCTTTTCTTCTATTGAGACGCCATTGAAACAATGATGAAATTGCAATTGAAAGTATGTCTATATTTATGTCTTATGACGTCGAACCAATCTAAATTTCGACATTAGGATTTTATTAACGTTGATTCGAATGAACTCGAATACGTTTCTGACTGGGGATAAGTTTGGTATTATTATTATTATATGATTTATATTTGAGTCTCTTTCCTTATGAGTGTTTCTTAGATACTATGTTTACACGAATTTTTATGTGTATATATAGATGTATTTTATATGACTATGTATAGCTAACTTATCTTTTCTGCAACAGCTTATATATAAATACCTCCTTAGTGATAGTGGAGTATTTCCCATCTCCTTCAGGTGCAATATAAGATTCAAAAATTAAAGGAGTACAACTCAAAAATGATAGTCTTTCCGACCAATGTTTCTGTGGAACAAATCCATATTCTTTCATATGTGATCGCATTTGTTCTTTGTCCAATTTAGTAGAATCCTCATCCTTATCCTCAAATGATGGAAGCTTCATCTTAATAACTTTTGCTCCCCTTTCTTTTTTAAATTTTGGGTTCCAATGCTTTTTGATACATCTGATTTGTGTAATATCATTGGTACAATTAATAAAAGTGAATAACGCTGGTGAATTATTCTGAAATAAATTTTTACCTTTTATATATTTTATATATTTTCTTTCTTTTATATATTTTATCATACGCAGCATTAAAATTATACATATATTAAATTACATAAATATATGCTTAATATCATTCAACAATTATTTTCAGTGTTATAGTTAATGTTCAAAGTTTAAAAATTGTAAGAAATCCTAGTAAATTTTTGCTTATATTTATCTGTGCATGAAGGTATTTGTCCCAAAATAGTGAATAAATATTATATTTTAATAATAATAAATAAATATTACACAGCAATGAATATTTAATTTAAAGGAATTATTATCTTTTTTGATAACAAGTTTTTATACAAACATATACAATATTGTTTACTTTTATATAAAAAAAAAAGGTTCTAAAAGCCAAAATCACCTCTAATAAATAAAATTGCGAAGCAGAGAGATAGTAGAACATCGTAAGCTAGGAAATTCTTAACATTAATGAAATATAAGGTAAAAAATATGCATCATGACACAATTACATCAGTAATACTTGCGTTCAGCAAGACTCAACAATTTTGCAACCGTTTTATGATTGCTGAACGATCCTAAACGCACTCATAACCTCAACATGATTTTACATTAGCCATTCAGCAGGACGTTTAGTTTGCAACTATTGGAAGTTTCTTATGCTGACACTGGATTATTTCTGTAGATCTGAAAGAATAATCCGATCTCAGCTCAGAAAACTTCCAACAGTTAAAAATTAAACGTTCTGCTGAATGTAGCCATTAGTAAAATTTATTAGTGTATTTCTTAATTTCCAATACATTATGTATACTTCTAACCCAAAAATTGTTTTTACTAAATAGCAATTTTAATTTACAAAGTTACTTCTATGCAAAAAATATAAATATTTTTTACAAAATCTGAGGTTAAAACTTTAAACTAAATATTTATTCACACATTGCGAATTTCTTCAATTAAAAAAAAGTAGTAAAAACTATACCTGTAAACAGTTCCTGTAGATACACTTCGGATTTATATATTTTAACAAAATTTCTGTAAACATTTTGTGCCTGTAGCTGTCAATAATATTAATAAACTGGATTCAGCAGAGAGAACAATTTATCAGTAGCAATTAACTCTATGTAACGTTCTCTGTAAACTCCGGAAGGTCAGGTTAGGGAGGTTCCGTTGCAAGCACACCATGCAACAGCGCACACACGCATTCGTGTACCGAAAAGTCTCTTTCCTACCTGGACCACCAATTAGAAAACTTTATATTAAATTAGCCAATCATCTATGCGAGCTATCGGCTTTTCCGTCCCCGTCTGCCGTCAACTGTTGGCTAGGGAATATGTCGTTGCGCAGGCAGAGGGGCTATTCCGTAAGGCCTGTTCTACAATACATCACCACAGTTAACTACAATACAGTTGCGACAGTACTAGGAAATTGAAGGTCGATTTTCTTCTGCGCATGTGTTGACTGTACAACTAAGAATATGACAGACTGTAACAGCGATACCGGCGAGTGAGACGGCACAGCTGAGCGTGTAACATATTTAAAAATATTTATGTTATAATCGTAATATAAAATGAATGCAAGAGGTAGTACGTTTGCTACATGCAAAAATATTTGTGAACGAGGAGAAAATTAAATAAGTTTCTTTCGATTTCGGAGAAATAATGAAGGGTAGTTACGTAAAAAGTTGTCACATGTACACAATGATACTAATATTTATAAATCTTAAGAGCTTTTATACAATTATATGTAGGATTTCTTTGAATTTTACAACTACTTTACGCGAAACAGTACGTCTCTTGATGTCGTTCAAATTTAGCGCCCGTACAACCTACACATGGCTGAGTGTCAGGTGATCGATGACCACTGGCATAAAAAAACCGACAGCTATTATCGCAACTGTATGTAGTTAAACTAGGTCTGTTCGTTTTCGCTGCACCGCAGAACTAGTGCAATAAGTTGAAGTGAGAAAACATATACTTGTCTCGCTTAAACTTATTGCACTAGTTCAGCGGTGCAGCGAAAATGAACAGACCTTATGTTGAAAAGTCGAAATGGTGATGATAGATGGTGATGGAGATGTGCCTTAAGTACATCCGCAGCCAAAAAAAAAAAGCAGACTTTAAAAAGCATCATCCAAAGGCAATTTAAAATCATATTATTATGTTCCCTTCAAAATTCTACAACTTTTTTTCCATATATATTTTTTTTAATTCTAATAATTTCCAGATACTTGATTGTCAAAAATAATATATACATGTATATAGCATCTCAACTATCATAAAATACTCTAATAGCGCGTATGAAATTATAACATTAATGTTACGTTATTAATAGTTGGTATTTACTGGTTAGTTAAAATTCTGTTCAAGTATAATCTATTTGAAATTAACTAAAAAATATAATTTTATATTTATTTGGTTTATTGAGGTTTTGTAATTTGCAAAATATCTTTATGGTCTATGTTCCAAAAAATATCGATGCTTCAACATTTTCGTACTAGGATTTTCGACTTTAATTAGTACTAAATAATATACTGTTACAGTAATTTTACATTTTATTCTCTGATAATTTTGTTTTATATTATGTAAAATATCTTTCAAAATATTTACTATTTATAATCTTTTCTTCGTTTTTTTTTTCAAAAAATAACGTGTGAGAACTAATTTATGTAAAAAAAATGTATTCTATTTAAAAAATTCGAAATCAAACTTAATGAACAGCGAGAAATGAACCATTGAATAAACTTCGAAATAATTGAAATTACATCGCATCGACGTCGATTCAATGTTCATTTTTCGCTGGATCAAATTAAAAAAAAAAATAACCTTACGCCACTCTTAGAATCGAATCAAACAATTTTTGTTTGAAATAAGTTTTTCTAATGCGGAAAGTACTAAATATATGGAATAATACATTCAAAATAGCCCATCCTGTATATATATGTATATATAATTTATTTAATATAGAGACTTGCTCAAGTACGTGGTATATATTTTTATACTATATTATTATTTTAAATATAATAAAACAATGTTATATTACTGTTTTTAAACATCCTTCACTATTGTTAACGCCCTTAATCTATTTAATTCAATTTTTACAGCTCGCTGATATTCCTCCTCAGGTACAGGTGTTACACTTGATGATGAGCTGAACTCAGAGTACTGTATAGGCATTAACTGTGTATATAGCTGTGTCACATAACCATAATAATTTAATTGTACCATAATCACAGCATGAATGCAAGGATTGATGTATTCAAGTCTTTTTTCGAGGAATACTGGTAAATCCATAAGTAATTGAGTGTGTATAATTTTCAAATCTTTAGCGGCCACTTCTTCCATTCTTCGTTCTCTTTCTAACTTTGCAATGTGACTGGCAGTTCTGTCTTTTTTCTCTTGCAATTTTTTCACACGATTGTACAAATATTTCCATGTAGTCACTAGATCCTCACGCTTTGTTATCGCTGCAGCAATAGTGACAAACTCATTCCTCAACTTCTTCAAAGGTTCTATAAATGTCTTATGACATAGATTAGTCGTTTCTTGAATGTTTTTCCCAACCTATATATATATATTTTGTTGTTTTTAGACACAGTATTAATGATTACGTTTTTTACACTGTAATACTGATCCGGTTTAGTAATAACAACAGCATTTATAACTCCTTTAGACTTGTATCTGTCTATATATGAAGTGGTTTTAACTAATCCTTACCACAGAATCTATTTCTATAAAATTTTCATATAACTGTAACACAAGCATACAAGATAAACAAAAACAAATAATATGGCTGTTAGAATATTTTTAAGATATTTGTCAACAGTCGAAGCAATTTTATCATTTACAAGACTCTTTAAAATCGGATTTATAAATCTTTTTAAAAACAGAGGTATATCAACAACAACCAATGGTATAACATGGATGTAGAATATCATTTACAAGATATTTTATGTTATAGGAGTTATAACTATAATTATTATTAAATTGGATTATCGTTGTCATGTAAATAATGTAGTTTGTGATATTTTTTGAAAGAAAAAGCAAATAACATACTTGAGTAGCGATGGAAAAATATTCTTCCACTATTCTTCTATATTCACCATTATTCTGTGCCAATCCACAACTAGTTAAATTCATACTTAATCTTTGATCTGCTTTATCCAAATTTATCAAAGCTGCTATATATTTCTTCATCTCCTTTGTTAATTTTCTTACTGCACTCTCAATACTTGAAAGAAACAAACAATATATATATATATATATATTTCAAGAATTAAAAGAAGACTTTAATTATTAGGAAAAATTATCAAGTATTTCAAAAGAAATTTCTATAAACAAAGATTTTATTTTTTTAAATTAATGATATATACATCTTAACACACATATAGCAATTAAGAAAATACTATCTACATACATTAAGAACACACAACTAAAATTGAGAAACTATATAGAATAAAAGTCAAATATTTGGCTTATGGTGTTTATATCTCTATTATTAAAAAAATATTCCACTATCGTTATACTCGAATATATCCCTTTGTAACAGGGAATATACAAATTTTAACTTTGTAATAACTAACATTTAATATTAAAAATACATACTAGATGAGTCTTTGCACAACAAGATCTAATTCTTTATCTTCTGCATGGGATAAAAGTGGTGATGCAGATGTTGGTCTCTGGGTTAAGTAATTTTTCTTTAAAGGATTCCTGCTTGTACAATATATTTATAAACGTTTATATAATTTAATATATATATATGCTTAAGAATGTTAAAGAAACATATGCCATTTTATTTACTTACCACGTCATAATCAGTATCAGTTAAGACTTTCAATAATTACAATTATGCCAATACGGATGTCTATTTAAAATTAGATATAAAAATTTTACAAAATTTTACAAAATACTAGAGTCATTTTATCTACAACTTTTAACTCATTTTGATATTTATTCATATATTTTCACGCATTATATTAATTAAAGAACATTTCCATGATAGAGAGAGCGATATATTAATGGATCTATATTCTCAACACACAGCTACACATTTTTTTCTTAAACCACCTTAAGGAGAATTCACAGCTTGACAGGAGGAAAACAGAAAAGCAGCAGAACGCATGCTGCTGGTAGTCGATAGTAGAGTTGCGTTCGGGAATCCACATTGTGTGCACACCACTAGACACCAACCAGCTGTTCTAAAACATCCACCAGGCTATATTCGGAAACATCACTCTTTGGTATACTTTTATAACTTCAGTGACTAATTAATGGTTCTGGTGATTGGCTGCTGCTGCTGCTTTTCTACTTTTCTACCGTCAAAATCTGTGAATTCTCCCTCCCTTATATCTACTGCAAGCAGAGTTTATAACTATAAGCCGATTTTCATTCAGTCGGATCTTATATTTACTGTACTCTTGAGTTTATCTTCAAATACTTCGTAGCCAATGAAATGAGCTGTATAGCATCTCATCACACACACTTTATAGCAAGGCGATTTTAATACTTATATTTATTTATCATTGAAATCGGCTGATGATTTTAATGATAAACGCATTATAAGTATGTTTCAAACTTGCGCACTTTTCGTATGTTCTACAGAGCATATACATACGGAGCATCCTCATGTCGCTACATTTCATCGGTATGACAGGTCCTATTTCCTCCTGTCAAGTCGTTAACTTTAACGATTGATATATCGTTCCGCGAGGCAGAGCGACGCTTTTTCGCTTCAGATTCTTTCGTTTCGTGCAAAGACACGTCGAATAAGCATAATTTTCATCGATATTTGTACTGATGTAGCTGTGCTAAACTAAATAATTACCACATAAATAATCATAATAAATTAGCATATCGGTTGGCATATTACGAACGTCACATTTTGCAGTTGTTCAGTTCTAAACTAAACATTGCGTCATGCGTGTAAAAGCATTCCAGACAACATAACGTCTAAAATAGAAACCGACTTACTTACAGACGTCTTTAGGACATCTGTCAGACGTCTTTAAGACATCTGTCAGACGTCTTACTTATAAACATTTTTAAGACGTCTTATGTCTCGACCGTTTTAGACGTTATATTTTTTTTGGATCCTTGTGGATTGGTTGCTCTAAAGTTGTGCATCTTGGTTAAGCATATATTCTGAAAGTAGTGACAGTGATTTTCATATTAGTGATACATTGATTTACAACGATAACGGTAAATGGTTGTTAATACAAACGCTTATTTATTATCTTGGCTTTGCCTTCTAATGGAACGATTTATACAGAGGGAAAACAAAGATCATATATGAAATTTGCCCATATATTACTATATATAATCATACATGTCCCCAACGAGAAAATACTGTTGTTTACAAATTATATGCAAATACGATCGAAATAAATGCTCCCGGCTACTTGTGCTTCTGATAAAACATGATATCGACATTTAATTAAATGACATAACTCCATTTTTTTCGTATAAACATATATGATCATATATGTAACCACGTATATGGGCAAAATTCGTATATGATTTTATATAATTATATAATTATTTTTTCCCAGAGAGTTATACCGACCAATGCTGCGAGGTGCAATGCCTGCCCCATAACTGTTGATAACCTCATCAATTTTAAATACTCCATCTAAAAGGCGTCTCACAACAATGTGATAATATTTGACAAACATGTTCAAGAGTTGTGTTAAAAGTCTGGCTGGTTGATAATAGTAAATCCCATCCATGCGAGATGCAAACCACCTTGTGTAATTTTTTGATTATCAGATATGATCAGCGATAGACATTACATCCAAGCATATATAGCGCAACACATAGTTTCACATATGTTCTGATAAAACCATACATAATATGTATGCAATCATGTATTATGATATACGATTTCATTTATTTTTACAGATATGGATTTTTTTCTTCCGAGTTTCCGTATGGCAATTATCATAAAAAAGTTATGTAATATTTTAATAACACACATTATATTTACATTGCATAACAGTGTAATTTGTGTGATGAGTGAAAATTATTATTCGTAACGTGTATATAATCTGACATACATGCATGTTATATTCCGTTTTTCACAGTATGAGAATATGTTTTATTATACTTTCTTTCTAAGTTATATACCTATGTGTTTTGTTGAAATGGAATAGTTCTAAGATGAATATTCCAAGACATTCTTAAGAATTTCAATCATGATATCATGTAACTTTCTGCAATAATTTTCACTATATTTTTTTTATGAATTTCTGAAAAAGAATTATATTTCAGCAACGGAGGAAATTCAGAAATGCTTTAAGAATTCATCTATCGTACTATCTTGGCGTTTGCTTATCAAACCAGAAAGATAGTCGACTAACGATAGATAGGAATCGGAAGCAAACATGATAATGATATTCCTGCGGTTTCTTATTTTTTCCGTTTTATTGAAGGTCGCATTAAATATAAAAAGGCGCACGTTGTTAAAAGACACAGTCTATTACGAGTTCTTACGGTGTTAAAAGAAGAACTTAAAAAACTCACTTTGATTCGCGTAGTTTTCGATTATTAAATTTATTTCAGTCTACGTCACTTTTTAAATTATTTACGTTCTATTTATCACGGTGATACATAACCTTTATATAAAATATATCACGTGAGTAATGGCAAATATTGCTGATTAGACTTCATTTGTTGTGCAAAAAAATATAATCGACAAACCACATAACGTGAATGCCTAAATAAAAGTGCTCCCAGTAAACAGTCTAACATTACAAGAATGTTATACGAGATTCTTACAACACAATATGTGTTACATAAAACACGTGTTATATTGCACTTACGTCGAGTGAGAAATTATAACATTAATGTACTTTTGTTACCGTTAGTATTTAATGGGCTGTTATTTTTTCTGACGTTATTAATCGATATGTATACACATCCACTACCATTTGAAAGCAAATAAAAGCAAATAAGCTTGGATAATGGGATAAAAGTGAATACCAAGGTAAGGTTTACTGATTGTAGCACGAGAGCAAGTGGATGCGAATCTCCTACATAGATGGCGGAGCAAACGGGAAAGATCAAGGTTTGTGTGATCGGCGGCGGGGCGGCTGGCTTGTGTGCAATCAGACATTTGGTGGGAAATTCGAAATTCGAAACGACGGCCTATGAGCAAATGAGCAAGATAGGAGGTACATGGGTTTACACGGAGCAAGTTGGGTTAGATGAGAATGGTTTACCGATTCACTCCAGCATGTATCAGAATCTAAGGTTTGTCTAAGACTGCTTCCAATTTCTTTTTCCTCATCGTTTCTATCTCCTCACTGCAGTTATTTTGATTAATGACGAATAATAGATTGAAAAAATATGTGTTGAAAATTCGCAAAAAGTAAAAGAGGTAATAAAGGGACGAAATGAATAAGATGATTTGCTAATTTTATTTTAAGGATATGTTACATATCGAGATAAAATGAAAGAAACATTATGAAAAAATTATAAATCGATCTACATTATATTTAAAAATGTGGCCACCAAAAGTTTGACAGAGTCTGGATTAAAGTAATCACATTTTATAATTGTTATATTAAAATTACAAAACCAGACGTAACAAGTAATATTACTGAAATGTTATATGTATATGGTAGTTGCCATTTTTTCACTCGCTAAGAGTTTTCTTTTGTTTCTGTTTCTAGAACAAATTTACCCGCAAAAATTATGAATTTTCCGGATTATATGACAATGGATGCGCAAGAACCCAGTTGCGTGAGCCATCAGGAAGTTTTGAATTATCTGAAAAATTACACCCAGCAATTTGATATACGTCGACATATCCATGTAACCATGTTTTAACATGTATAGAATATATAGAAAAATATTACGCGCAGCTCATTCAACATGATCCCTGTGTGTTTTCAGTTTAATACAAGAGTGGAACACGTTCGATTTGAACCATCTGAAAACTCGCGTAATCGCGATAGATGGCTTGTGCAAGTAAAAAATGTAAAAACAAACGAAACGGAAAACCGATACTTTGACGCGATTATGGTTTGCAATGGGTGAGAAGTTGTATGTTACCGAACTAAATGCTCAGTAGAGCATATTTATGATCCCTATTGGACGAACATTTTTTCATTAATCTTTTCCAGACATTATTTCGATCCGTACATACCAAATATACCCGGCATCGAGAGTTTCCCAGGTTTAATATTACACAGTCACGCGTACAGGAAACCAGAAGAGTTCTCCGGAAAAACTGTGTTAGTGTTGGGCGCAGCTTCGTCTGGTATCGACATAGGGATCGACTTGTCGAATTACACGACCCGCGTGTATTTAAGTCACAATCACGATCGGTAAGTGTTTAATCCAATTTTATACCAAGAATACTCTCAAATATATTCACAAGATATTCTAAAATCATGTAGAATGTTTGAGATCAGTTCGAACATTTACATTTAGGACGATTTTCGGATGTTTTCAGGGATGATTAATTTCAGCCGGAATTTAATTGATTCTGTAGAAAAATAGAACAGAGAGAGAGAGAGAGAGAGAGTGAAATTAATTTCTTCACTTTAGTTATATTCTGTTTCAAGATTAACAAGTCCTCTACCGTCGAACATGACACAAGTCGCAGGCGTCGAGAGTATATATGAAAATACGTTTCACCTTAAAGACAAATCCACCGTTGACGCCGACGTTTTTATTTTCTGCACCGGATACAAATACAGTTTTCCCTTCTTGGATGAGAATTGTGGCATACGAGTGGATGATAATTATGTAATTCCGCTTTACAAACATCTCGTCAATATCGAGCATCCTACGATGTGCATCGTCGGAATACCCACGTTAGTCGTACCGTTCCCAATGTTCCACATGCAGGTAATAATTCATGCTATTGATCGATGTGATAACTAACTTTACGTAATAATAATAACTCATTACAATTACCGTTACACCGTGATAAGTTTTTTTTTTTAATTTTTTACGTTACTTTCGGAAGTAATTTAATTATAACATTGGACAACCATTAGGAACATTTGGGAAACTTAAAGATCCCTAGCCATTATTTCGAAAACGGTAAGATATAAATTTTTCATGTTAGTAGCAGTGTTCATTCTTAACTGTAGGAAACATTAAATGTCATTTTGACAATTTTGAACGTCGATAACGACAGAATAAGAATGTGTTTTATTTTTTAGGTGCCCTAATGTGCAATATAGATCAATTTATAATTTTTTCCGTTTCGTTTGTTTTTACATTTTTTTACTTTTTTCGTAAATACTCAATTTAAGTTCTTTAAGTTATTAGGTTTTGTAATTAGGTTAAAATTCTACAATGAAATGAAAAATTGACCGGTTTTTAAGATGGTAATTGTAAGGTTAACCAACAAAAACCTAAATATTTGCAAAAGATGAAATAAAAATTATATAATATAAAAATTAAAAAATTGTACCACTTGGGGAAAGACATGATTCACGCCAGATTGGGGACATTTGACGCACCAATCAAGTTACTTCTATATTTTAGCAGCGCAATTGGCGATAAACTGGTCCAATATCGGTTATATTGACATATATTAGGCAAATGTTAATATACTCAATATAAAGTTAGTTAGACAACAAAAAGCTAAGTTAGCCAAATATAGCATCGAGTCCGATATAAAGTCTATTAAGTGACAAAACAGTTATAAAGGTCATTCCGAGCTAGGAATATTTCAGAGATTTTTAAAGATTATAGAACGCTACCAAATGTGAGTATAAAAGGAGAAGGAGTGTATGTCGAAAATTAAAAAAATAAAATCTTATTCATCTACAAAATTCAATTTTCCATAGCGTCAGTCCCGGAACTTTTTTAATACATTGTGCATACTTTATTTAATAATATTATAACAAAATACTTATTCTAACACACTTTATTAACGTTACATTGGCCAATGTTGAGCCAATAAAATGCGCTATTAGGATAGTTTTATATTATAAACGTGATAAATTATCTTCTGAATGTTTATTTTTCAGGTGCAATATTTTCTAGCTTTACTAGACGGCCAAATAACTTTACCTGCAGAAAATGTAATGCTGGAAGATTCAGCTTTAAAAACTTTGAAAAAGAGACACGCGCATAAATTAATGGATCAACAGTGGGATTACAACGATTCATTGGCGATCACTGGTGGATTCGAACGATTACCGCTGTTTTACAAACTTGGGTACACAGCGTTGTCGGTCCAGAGACGTACAAATCTTTTGCGTTATAAAGATTCCAAATTTATTGTCTCTAAAGACGGAAAAAGTGTTGAGTTAACAATACAAGATTAACTAAATTTCATGTAAATTTTATGATATTGACTTTTTTTATTATTCTGTCGAAATTATGTAGTAATGAGCTTTGATTTGCAAATAAAGAATATATTTAACACAGCAATAAATAGAAGTTTATAGAGGATTCATTTTATATTGAATATTCCTATAGAATTAAAAAGATATTGATATCGAGAAAATTTTTGAACAATTAACTACAATCATATTCGTCTTGAAATATTCTCCAGAAGTTCGTTATAACGAATACTTCGCAATTTAGTACTTTGAATTCTTTTAAGAATTCGTGAAGAATTACGAGTGTCTTGTTTCTTACAATTACTTCCTGCAGCTGCTGCTTCTGCAGATGCCTTTACAGAGAAGTATTGCTGCCTGCTAATAAATTGGCCAGTAATAAGTTACTGTTGCTCAGTCATTTTATTATTTGTATTTTAGAATTCAAGTAACAAAATTACTGGCCAATTTATCATAGGCAGTAATATTTTTCTGATTTTCTCTGTTTTATGTGTACAATAGCATAATTAGAACTTTCTTTACAAATGAATGAATATCTCGATATAATAAAAGGAAAAGCGAAACCATTGAAACTTCAAAGAATTCTGAGAATGATGAATCTATGATTGAACTGAGTTCATATATTTTCACAAAATTGCTATCTTAATCTCAAAATAACTACGTATAATATAATTTTCTTTTAATTCTGTACCATTTTTATATAATTTTGGATTTCCCTTCTTCTCTTATGTTGTCAAGAGTTCAATATATTTTAATTATTTCATCTGGAGGAAGACCGTTGACAATATCATTAGCCTAGAGTGTCGTTGCATAGCTTTTCTGCCATATGTTGAATGTAGTCTACAATGGACAGTAGAGTATATTCGTAAGAAGCAAGAATAAGAAATTGACCAATCATATTCAAATGTAAGGAGAATAGTCGGCTATGATTGGTTAATTTCTTATTCTTATTTCTTATAAATATACTCTTACTGCCCATTGTAGACAACGTTTTATACCTACATAATAACGACATTATGATAACGAAACTATCGTTAAAAGTCCTTGCCAGGCAACAGGAACAGAGAATAACACAGGCAATATATTTCCGATAGGTTGGAATCTATTCTTTGTTCCCGTTAGCATTATGCAAGGACCTTAAAGCTTGGTCTACAATGTGCTCTTTGCGTCTTGTTCTCTTTTCTATAAGTAAATAGAAGTTCTTACAGAAGAAAGATAGAGAGCAAGAAACAAGACGTAAATATTGTGAATCAAGCTTAAGAGTTATATAATAGGAGTGCTGGTAAAGATGGGCAAAATTATTGATCTTTGAAAAACATCGCTCATTGAAGATGATATAACATTTAGGGTGCGTTCGGGGAGACGCTTTTGGCACTATTTAGTGCCAAATGCTTCGCGGGGTTAGAGGACAGTACCAACAAACGCGATCATGACGTCACTAGTGGTAGTTTTACGTCATAACTTCGCACAAACGTTATTTCTTCCGAGGTAGTGTTAATGGTGGCGTTAGAGTTTGCAAAAACTGCTCACTTTGTGAACATCCAAAACTGCACAATATTGTACGTCATAGTTCCTGTACATGAATATCGTATGAATATATCGTATTCATTGTTTTACTATTATTCCTGTACATAACCGACAGTTACGTGGAAATAAAGTGTCAGTATATTGAAACTGAAGACGGGTTTAAACTGCGATATTTGACCTAATTTAAAAACAGTTTAACTCGAAGAAGAATAGAAGAAGATACAAAATGACGATACAACGCAGTAATTAGTAGGTTCTATTTAGCTGCTGGACTGTTAGACAAAATATATTTGCCTCATTCTAACTTAATGCAGCAATGCAGCTAAAAAGAACAGACCGAACGATACGCTAATGCCGTTCGTAGAGTTTGCTATTGCTTTCGTGCTATTGGCCCCACGAACAGCATCAGTAATGTGTGCGTTTATAGTGCTAATAATGTCGAACGAACGCAAAGAAGACCCTTAGAGAAAATGTTAGGGACTGTAGAAATTCTCTAACCGATAGCCAATCGGCATATCCGACAAACTCGTGCATCCTTAATGAGCGAACATCGATGTTTTTCAAACATCGATAATTTTGCCCATGCTTAGATGCTGGCAACATTGTTTCGTATACGAAACTAATCGCACGAATTCAAGAATCGGACGGCAGCAGCTCGAACGGGTGAAAAAAAGTTGACAGGACGAGAAAGGGGGAGAAGAGTGCGTGGTGGAGAAAGAGAGAGAGAGCGCATTATTACGTCAGGTCAGGGAAAGAGGAGGTGTCTCTTCGACATCTGCGCATTTCTTGCGCTCGTTCAGGGGAAAACTCCAAAACAAGCAACATGGCGGATCCGAGTAACGAGCCTGCCTCGTCGAGCGGCGTCTCGGAACAGGCGAGCACGCCGGCGGCGGTCGCGGCCGCCGCGACACCGATGCGCGAAGACGTAGAGAAGGCCGAGGACTTCCTCGAGCCCGACAAGAAGCGTCGCAAAGTGGTGCGTGCCGACGGTAACAAGACCGAACAGAAGCTGGAACACCGCTTGGGCGGTATCCTCTGTTGCGCAGTTTGTCTCGATCTGCCTCGGTCGGCTGTTTATCAGGTAAGTCTGCTAGCATCTCTGCTCGGCTAATCGCGCCGTCCTCATCGTCGTTGTCGTCGGAAATTCCCTTTGTTGCTCCGAGACCCAACGTGGCCCTCTTTTGCCGCATTCTGCGACATTCTTTCGGGGATAATTGTCACGTCGCCCTCCTTGCCCCCTCGTTATCCCCCTCCGACGACCTCGTCGATCGACCCGTTTACCAAGCTGTGTAAGTTCTTTTTTTTTTATACACCGTGTGAATACACGGGCTTTACTCTTTAATCCGGGAGATATATATATATATATGTATGAATTTATACTATATATATATATATATATATAGTATAAATTTATATGCATATATGCACATATGTACATATATGTGTATATATGTAAAGAGTATCTATAAGAAAATTTGGATACCATTGAAAAGCTCTGTTAGTGGGTCCTGTATGTAATATATAATTTTTATTAAAAAAAGATGGTTATTTTAAACAAATATTTTGGAGGAAGAGTGGTATATTTTGTAGCAAACAGAATTTGATCATGTCACTGTTATTTTATTATTTTTAGAAGACTATACTTTTCCCTTGTTTCATCTCAACTACAAAATTCTCTCTCTCTCTCTCTCTCTCTCTCTCTCTCTCTCTCTCTCTTTCTCTCTCTTCGTTTTCATATTTTATTTTACTTTTTTTCTTTGCAACCAAAAACTATATATGTAATCTAGATACACAGAATTACATCTTTACTGAATTTTAGCCATTTTCTCTATTTTTGTCACAACAACCTAAATATGATTTTTAATACAAACAGATTTTGGTATTAAATTCTTTAGGTCTCATCTATTGACATCTATCATCTATTTGACTCATTAATAGTTATAATATTAAAATATATACCACGATCCTTATAATTGTAATTATAGTTTCCTCTTGTTCCACAAACTGGGCTTTATATATAGGTCGTATAATGAGGTTGTCTGTTAAGACGTGTTATGTCTTGCAGGTAGGTAACTTGATATACTTTCTTTATAGGAAAAAGCGTGCAAAAATGTTTCTAATACATTGATAAAAATTTCTTTGCAAATTTGTACACACGATGAAATTTCTTTTTACGATATTTAAATAAATTGATTTGACATAAGATATATATATATGTGTACATACATATGTATATATGTGTGTGTGTGTGTGTGTATATCATTACTTTATGATTTTATTAAATATCTAAAGGATCATTCAAAATTTTCTATCATCACACAAAAATTTATATATATCAAATTTTTTACATGTATATTGTTACTTTAATATAGTTATTTATATTGGCATCTCTCTCATTATAGTTATGTTTATGTATAAAACAGTTTGTATAATTTGAACTTTACTGGAAATAGATATTACGTATATAGAATATATCGAGTAACATTTTCGATTTATCATGTGTGTATGCATGCAGTTATTCATGTTTGTTTAGAACATTAATTACAAGAAAAATATTCGTTCGTAGGATTCCTAAATCCATTGGTGCTGTTAATTTCATACTTCTTCAATACTTTTCCTTAGAAAGTTATAATGATGTGAAAAGATTTATATAAAATTGGTACAACTATTGTAACATAATAGGAGGGATGTAGCACACTTATCCTGATATTCGTAATGTTAAATAGATATATATATGTAAACTCACAGGCCTTTTATGCAAATATACAAATAGTGCATAAATATTTTCATTTACGATACGAGAACTTATCCATGTATTTTTTTAGTTGTAAACTTTTATAAATACTTTGCACTGTCCTTTTTTTTACACATAGGGTCTACCATATTTATAAAGAATAACATTTCTTTCTATGATCTCCAAAATAGCGGAATTTGGAACTTCACATTTATTAATACCTCTCTATTGAATCAATTAGATAAATAGTAAATTAATTAAGATCCTAGATCTCTGTATAGTTGTTTAGTGTATAATATAATGACATATTTGAATTTTATGAAATACAACTACTAATATTATTATTACTATTATTATTATTATTATGATTATTATTATTATTATGATTATTATTATTATTATTATTATTATAAGAGACTATTAAGAGGGAGGAATATCTTCAGAGTACACACAATGACTATAAAGATCTATCGTAGATTAGTGCGAAACTGATGCTCATAGTTAACAGTGAGAGAGTGAGAGTGAGGGAGAGAAAGCGAATACAAAAAGAGAAAGATTTGTATAAACTGTATAGTGCAGAACAAAATAAATATTCTTAAAGGTTATTAGTTAGTTATTTCGCATAAAATACCCTTTTTCACTTATCCTACGTGTCATTATCCTCGTCTCTTCCTTTCCGTCATCAATATACTGGCACCATTTATGATAATTCTTTAGAGAGTATTCATGATGATTTAAACAGACGGTGTCGAGACAAGTGCATCTGTAATTAATAAGTACCCGTACGATTTTGTGTTTCAGGTTTAAACATCAAAATGATGGTAATAT